CTGAAGAATCTGCTTTTGACTGAAGGGTTACCCTTAAATCTCTACATTGATGGCCAAATGAGGACTAGAACAAGAAAATATATTTAGAAACCTACCAGGAGTTTAGATATGAAATAATAAGGCAACTATGAAAAGCAACAAGGTAAGGAAATGGAGGCTTAATAGTAGAGGTGTGGTGATACATCAGTCGCATATCAAACTGGCACCTGTAACAGGAAAATTAACATTATTGGCAATCGGCTTCTTTTAGCCAATAACCTCACTGATAAATGTTGTGTGCATGCACGCAGTCAGGTGTGCAGCCCAGCAGCGTGGAGAGCAGTGCCCTACCAATAAATTTTGGGGGAGGGAAGAAGTGTGGAGGGGGTGCAGATTGAGGCCTCCACATGAGGGAGGGAGTGGGGCAGGCGCTGCCCAGCCAATGCAGTGAATGCAACCCCAGGGTGGGGTGCAGGGCAAAGCCGCAGGCAACTCATCCTGGAGGTGTGGGGTGGTGAATGGCTCCCCGCCGCTGCATGCATTCCCGGGGGAGGCATGGGAGGCATGTTCCCCACACAATTTGTGCAGGGGGCGAAGGCAGCCTGCCTTCCTGCAGGCTTGGGGCTATGGGCTGCGCTAGCCTCTTCCCAGTAGTGGGGGCTGGACTGCGGCTGCACTTGGGGAGGGTGAGAGTTGGGCAGGCTCAGCTGCTCGGTGCAGGTGACAACAGCACTGGGAAGGGTGTCTACAGGGGAGCTACAGGGAATTTTAGGGTGACCATAGCCCCCCCAACCCTCCCTAGCACAGTCCGTGCTCAAGGCACTCACTCTGCTGTTTTTCCCTAGAGAGCGCTGCGCTGGCTCTACTGCCCACCCCACAGCAGGGGGCTCCCAAGAGAAAAGCAACAGAGCAAGTGTCCTCAGCAGGGTGGGCTTGGGAGGCTATGGCCACCCCAAAATTCCCCATAGCTTCCCCTCCCAGCATCACCCCCCATCCCATGCAGCTGAGTCTGCCCTGCCCTGCCTGCCCTGAGTGTAGCCCTGCCCAGTGACCCCAAACTGGGCAGCACCTGCCCCTGCCCCACGCTCTCCCTCACCGTGGGGGCCTTGATCTACACCCCCCATACCTCTTCCCTCCCCCATGCCCCCTCCCCCCAACTTACTGACAGGGCACTGCTTTCCACGCTGCTGGGCTGCATTCCTGTAAATCAGCTGTCAGGTTGGTATCAGGCAATATGGATGGTTAATAATCGGCTAGTGTTTTTGGCCAAGAAAATCTTTATTGGTGCACCCCTGCTTAAAAGTGTTTCTCGGATAGGTTGACTTATTTAGTGCAGCTGGGATTTAATTTTGAGAAATTACCAGATACATCTTTCAAAGTGGTGCAGCCACTTAGCACTTCACGAGTCAGCAGCTCTCAAATGCAGTCACATTTTCCATGCACATTTCTATATATATTTTTCTAGTACATTTCAATTTTTAAGTTCTGCCTTATGGCTTTTTTAGATTTTATTAGTATATTAAACTTCGTGAACAAACTACTCTTGTGACAGGAAGCCTAACTGAGCTACAGAGGAAAATGAACATGATTCCTTAATTGTTTCACCTCTTTGGTTTTACATTTCTATTGTCATTTTTTTCCCCTATCAAGAATGGAATCTTCTGTACTTTGGAAAATGATCCACTCTTCTCTCGTCACCATGGAGAAGATATAACCCAAGAGAAACTTCGTGAGCTGACATTCCTGCGTTGCAAGAAGCTCTTTGAATATGAGTTTGTAAATATGGAAGATCTCATAGTGAATCCATTAAAACTTATGATACTGTTACAGTGCCTTGGGATGTATGATTGGTCTGTCGGTCTCAAATACCTCTTAAATCACCAAGTAAGTATAGCTCATAAAAAGTTTTTTAAATAGCTAAACTCAAGTAATTTGCAGCTTCAATGCCTTTCTACTGATTATTTTTTCCCTTTGAGGAAGACTTTCTAAAAATGTGATGTCTTCACACACATTTTCTCTTTAAATAAGGAACCTGAGTCAAACTGTTTAAAAGTGCCAGATTGGATAGCCTTAGGGTGAGATGACGATTCCTTTGAAATCAATGAGAGTTTTGCCATTGACTTAATGAGGCCAGGATGTAATTCCTAAAGAATACTATAATTGCAGCATTGCCTTGGTAATGCAAGCCTCCCTTTATTAGCTTGCCAGTGTAACTTAGCTTCCTCTTGGATGGACTATAGATGTGTGTGAGAGGAAAAATAATCTCTATGTTCTATGAGAATATGGTTTAAAATCCACGGAAGCCCCTAGAAAGATTCTTCTTGATTTCTGTGAGCCTTAGATGTGACTTTCAGTGATTTGCCCTTCATTTGAAGCAGAAGGCTAATTAATAGAGCAGATTAAATACCATTGGCCATATCTTACTATTTCCATTAAATGATATACTTGAAATTGTTTTGTCTGATATTTGGTGAGCACTACTGCTCAGTACCAATTGTGTTGGGGCTGGTGGTTTTGTAAATACCAGGCAAACAGAGACTAAAATGAGACCACCAACTCTTTTCTAATTAGAACACCACTAGAAGGGAAAAGCCTTCTGGGGAGATACTAATTTGGCTTGAGTTTGAACCACCCACTCTTATGTTCAGACCTACTCGTCTAAAAACTTGCTGGGTGCGAGGAGTTTATAAACTTTCAAAAGTTTGGAGCCCCCTGAAAGGGCTTTGGTTTCCTGAACTGCAGGTACAAGTGGAAAATGAGCATACCTAAAGCACTTATGCATGAGAGTGTAACTAGGGTCCAGCAAGTTAAGGCTGCCCGAAACTGAGCCTATCATAGATTTCATAGACATTGGGGCTGGAGGGGACCTCGGAAGATCATTGGGTCCAGTCCCCTGGCCAAGGAGCAGTAAGTCAGCTGGGATCACTCCATTATGAGGGGTGTAGTATTGACTGATTTAGTGCTTGCATGACACAGAAAAAAAGCCAATGAATTTTCTCTGAGTGACAGTCACTCCAGTTCAGAGAAGCCAGGGCCAGAATCATTCATCATTTAATCCCTTAAAAGTACAGTTTAAAAATGACTTAAGTGTTGCATAAGCCCCTGCCGGGGTAGCCATCGCCCATAAAGTTTCTTTTTCCCAGCTAAGCTCTCTTTCCAGTGTTGGTACATAATTTCACTATCAGTTCCTTCATCTTCTATTTTCAGAATTTCAAGAATATGATTGAAAGTGCTGGATCTGAGAGGCATAAGGAATTGGTGAGACAAGTCGATAATATGGAGGTAATTTTTTGTGTAACTTTCCAAAGCTGTGTTTTATATGGTTTATTGGGCTAACTATCTCTCTTCATCTTTTCTGGTCTCTCTGAATACTCCCTTCAACATGTTCAGTCTCTTTCCCTCATCTTTCTTGTAGAAAAACATTGCTGTTCTTCCACTCTTAGACTTGGATCTGGATACACCATCTTGAATATGCCAACTTCTTATTATCCTTGCAGGTCTGACTGGGTCCCTGTCTACAGTTTAGTTTGCCATTACAACCACAGCAAACCACGCTGTCATTAGAGATGCAGCTTATAAGAAAGAGTTCTTTTGTTAGTGTAGCATAAACCACCTCCCTGAACAAAATAAGCTATATTAGCAAAAAGGCATTTGTGCCAATAAAAGCATCTGTAATAGGATTTCTGACAGTATAGCTGTTAGAGATACATGTGTATTTTGTGTTGTTTCTTTTTCTTTTTACATTCCTAACTAACAAAACTATACTAGCAAAATTCTCAAGTGTAAACTAAGTCTGAATCTTGGACACTGACATTTTTTCATGGGTAGGGGTCTACCCAGTTTGAGTAGGCAGGCAGCTGATTTCATGGGGAGATTGTTGGGCCAGCCACCACTTTCATGGGCTGATTGCAGCAGGGCCCTCAAGTCTGTGATTGATCAAGGCAGTCCTGACCCTCCCCACAGACTGGCAGATGGCCTGAAATCGCAGCTTAATTACTCTGATTAAACCTGTGGAAGCCATTAATCCATGCATTAATTCTGTCATCTTGGGCCATCTCCAATTTAAGCATTCAGTTAAACTGTACGTGCATCTCAGGGCAGACAGCAGGGAAGGGGCTGGGGGCAGCGCAGCCCCAGTCCTGGCCCCTTCGCTGCCATGTACTCAACCAGGTGTAGGACCTGCTCAGGTAAGAGCTCAGGTATATATCAAGGGACCAGTTGTCTCTCAGGAA